CCAGCGTAATGAGAAACATCCTTATAATTGTGTGTTGTAAAATGCTTGTATTTAGAGAACGAGAGTGAAAAATGTTCCTGCCTACCAGGTTTAGAAACTAGAATTAAACAAGAAGTGATGGATGTCACGCTGTTCCTTTAGCTTTCACCCACTGGTGAAACAGCCTACAACATACGATGTGTGTCATTACACCTGGTGAACAGGCTCTCTGGGGAATCACCTCCAGTTCATGAATGTTCATGATTTACAACACCTGAGAGGAGAAATGCTAATTTGTTTAACGCCAAGATGTCATTTGTGAAAGGTTGCTTGATTCATATCAAACATCTGGAAGGCACTATGATTTCTTATGTGCTGGTGATAATAAGGTGGTTTTCACGCAGTGGAAAAGGATGCATGCGTGCGTGTGTGTGTGTGTCTGGCTAGTTTTGCTCTTGCTGACAGAGTAATGGATCTGTTCATTGTTGCATGTGGACTGTGTGTGATGTATGAGATTCATTTGAAATTCTCTGTCCCAAATGAGGCACTTACATGTCTCCATATGGAATATTACACACTTGAAGGCTAGTGGGTTGTAGGGAAATGAACTGAAGTTACTTACTCTTGTGGTTATAATTACAATCAAATGGTATTTTATTGTGGGTTTTTATGACCCACTTTTTACTTTTAATGAAAGCCCATTTCATGCACAATAAATTTACCAAAAGTGCAAATGGTTGCATTGGTGGACTACAGACACAAACCCTAAAATATTGTAAGGCTAATTAAGTCCAAGAAAATATCACTTTAACTTATCTAAAAAGGTCATTTCAGGTACAGAATTTTCTAACTGCGTTTTGCTGTTTTCCATCAACAAAATATGCTGAATCAAATAAATAATTTCACACCTTTACGCAGAAATTTGTTATTCAATTTGTTTTATTGCCAAGTTGATTTTGAGTATAGTAGCAAACAAAGAAAAACACATTTTTTCACATTGGCTTTTAAGAAAATTAAAAGCCTTATCAACATGATTTTATCAATACGCCATCATTAAATGAATTTATCATAAAAAACCCACATTTAAAATTTACAAAAAAAAAAACTATAAAACATTTTGACATGCAATAAATACATTCATTTCACTGGAGCAAAGGAAGATCAATATTGACACTGAAATGCAAAAAAAAAAAAATCTAATTAAAAAACAAAATACTGTTTGGTTCAAAGTATTGTTTGTCTTATTGGTATGTTCTGTTGAGAGACCACGAATAAGAAAGCACTTGAATCCACTGATGTTTCATTAACATGGTCTTAATGCCGGCTTCTAAAATAACATAATGTCCATGATCCCCAAAAATCCCATTTTATAGTATGTGTTTGACACATGTATTCTGCCATGTTTTTTTCCATCTGCTCATATCTAACAGCCTGCGTGGCAGTCTGTATAACTGCCCAACTTTCTCATCCCTGAAAACAAAAGTCATGTACAACCACCCCAAAAGGTTGCCGAAAGGATATGGAAACCTGTCGCCTTTCACCATAGTAGATATGGCGTGTGTGTGTGTGTCTGTGTGGTGCGTGTGTGAGGACCCTGAGGCTCTGTAACAATTTGGCACAGGTTGCAGTGTGTGTTGAGTGGAAGCCGTCAATGGAATCGCCTTTCTTTTAAAAATGGCTTTTTCTACTAGAATCGACACTCCACATGGAGCAGGGCAACCTAATCAAATCTGACCTAATCTGGACCAGCAGCCTGCCATCCAGCTGTGTATGTGTGTGTGAGTGTGTTTGAGAGATAAACTCCTCCAAATTCCTGCTTGTTTTCCCCTTGCTCTTTGTTTGTCTTTGTATGTAAACCTCTGGAGCAGAAGTTGTACACTGTAAATTAAAAGATTCGAGCCAACGATCATTTTGTCTGTTTTGTATGTGCACAAGGTAGAGCCAGAAACAGACAAACTAAACAGTTGCAAGATGACACAAAAAAAAAGCAGAAACCCTTTCACGACTCGACTACAAAGAGCTTACTGTGGGCTGATTAGATCATTCTCAAAGCGCAAGAGTCATCTTAGAGGCCACACTGATGCACACAGTTGGTTTGAAAAATCGGACAATTGCTCGCAGCAAACTACAATGAGAAGGCAAAAATATTTCCTCACAAGATTTATCCATAGAGGGAATTCAAACAGTAAACTCACGAGGCAGGAGCGGAAAAAAGATGTGAACAGGCGCACAACGCAGCCAGTTTTCCTTTGTTATTTACAGACAGTTGTGACTATCAAGCACAGGCTATTTTTCTCCCTGTTCCTGGTTCTTTTCCTCTCAACCCCTTCTCCTTTACTTGTTCTCTCTATCTCAGCGCATGACTTGGCTGGTGCAGCTGAGGCCCAACTCAATTGTGCAATTTCATACATGTTTACTTTACTGGCATCTTACTGAGCGTATTTTCCCCTGAACATTTCCTCTCATATTATTCTGCATTTCCTCTACAACAGTATTCAGTCTTTAATCTAATGTAAACTGTTCTTTGTTTTAAAGATCAAAATACTGTAATGAAAGATTTTTTTTTTCCTCTTGCTTTTTTTTTAAGAATCTGAGCCGTCATCTACAGTTTTTTAACATATGCCACGAAGTACATTTTGGAAATCGATCAGGGCTTAAACAAAAAAATAGCTCTTAACATAAACATTTAGACAACTGTGTTCTTCAGCATGAAAAGCAGCTGGAAGTAAGTGGATCATGGGGGTGGAGGGGTGAGGGAGGAGGGGGTGGGGGGGCAGTGGGTGCTGTGGTGGGTCAGTGATTTGTATTAAGTGTAAAAAGAGAGAAGGCACTGGGCGAAGTAAAGAGGGACGATGTTCTTTGAGGGTAAAAGGGCAACATGGACAAGCGGGAGGGAGGAAGAGAAGACCAAGGAAGCAAAGTGGCAGAGGGGAGGCAGTTGTGGGACTTTTGGGGGATTATTAGAGCAGTAAAAGAAAAGAAAAAAATCATACAATGATTTTTCCAGAAAAGTGCAGTTCAGAGAGCTAAATCTAAAGCAGCTGCTTGTAATAAAGTCTCTTGAAAGTGTCAGATATCTCCCTTGTACTTCATGTTGCAAAACCGTGGGACAGGCAAGCCATGTAGACAGACAGGTGCATAATGTGAACACTTCAGATAAGCTTACATACAAGTACAATCAAACAAATTATTGCAGTATAATTTACTAAAGAAGGCACGTTTGTATTGGTCGACTACGGTTTCGCATAAAAATCCGAATAAGACTTGAATATTGTTATAATTTGTCTGTATTTGGCATTTAATCATAAGATCTATGAGAAAGAAATATTTACATTTTGCAACAGCGACATATCTGCACTGCTCTCATGATTAGCCACATAGATAATGACTTTCATAACAAGACAGAGTTGGTCAGGGACTTAACACAACAGTGCAACTCGTTAAAGCCACTAAAATTGTGGTTTAGTTTTGCTTTGAGCGACTGTGATGTCTGCTAAGTGCTTCAGTATTTCTGGCACAAGTTGTAAAATACAATAAAAGTCAAACAGTGGAATGATCGCAGGACTACCCAGCCAGTCCGAGTCCCATAAGTGACCTTTCCCTGCCGCTGCCGGTAGAAAGTTTAAAGGCATGCTTTGAATTTTTTAAGATTAAACCTAAACTCTTTTTTTGGTCTACATAGTGTCACTGGAGCTTATTCAGACCTGTTTTACTTTTAAACTGTTCTCCTTGTAAAATATACGGGCCTGGCTTGATTTCCACAACATTCTCAGAGACTAAAAGCAAGAGTCCAACATCTCATCGTTTATGCTTTTGCCCTCATTTATGCCAGTCATCTCAATTAATTATATTAACTAATGTGACTGCACTCTTTTTTAATGATCTTATTGAATTTCTTTCCAAACATCTTCATCCAAAACACTCTGGCCGCCTGGGTTGGCCTGTCATGTAAATAACAAAGGCTTATGGTGTAAAATCCTGGAGGATGAAAACAGATTGAAACGAGAATCCTCTAATTTTACCATGTGAAACGACAAAAGAAAAACTTTTTTTTTCATGATTTACATGATATGTGCAGGGCTAAATAATTCCCCTGTATAAAATATGTTTAAAAATGGATCAAAGGAACAAGTCTTTATATTAACAAAATGTTTTTAAAAAAAAGAACTGAATCACATCAAAATTTGCGAATGGCTCCTGATGCAGCCTTGAGAGCCCACAGTTTCATATCAGCATGCCGATAAGCAGAGGTCTGTTCCCAAAGAGCAATAAGGGGGAAGGAAAAAAAGAAGATACAGTCGACTTGTTTTCTGAATAGTAAGTTTCAGAAGTAAGAACAAGCTTTCATAGTGAGACAATAGCTCACATCCACCCTGCTGGGCTCTCCCTGCACCTCTCCCTCCCCAATCTCCGTCTCTCTATCTGCCTCTGAGCAGAAACACACAGCACATCCTGCTCTGCACAACACGCCAGCCAAAAGTTCACTTCCTGCTCCTTGGCTCTTCTCCTTCACACTATACCTATTCCCAGGACATGCATTAACAGCCCTTCATGGACTCAAAAGGCGTGGTGACAAACAAACAGACAACCGAATGTTTCCCCTCCCCATAGATACCGAACCCTCCCCCCTACACATTATTTGCAATTAAGCTGATTTCAAACATTGCACATCCTACAGAAATGTTTAAGCCCTATCTCTTTCTTCCTTCTAGCTTAGATTTGATGTGACAGAGGAAACATTTTGTGTTATTTTAGTGGTGCTGGCAAGGAAAAGGAATAGACAGGTTCTCATTCGAACTAGTGAATGGGAGACCAATTCCCACAACTCATATCTGCCTGTTCCAACAATTTCATCACACAAGCACTTTTATGGATCGACCACCAGTGTTTTCTTTACCACTTTTTAAACCCTTTTTTTAATGTTACGGAACTAAACTCCAGAATCCTTCAATTTGGAGCACCACCCAAAGCAATCCTGCGAGCTTGTGTGCATGAACGACTTCCGTCAGGCTCACGTCAAGAGTTCACTTATGGAGAAAAGAGGTCAAAGCATATGAGGCTTGTTTTCAGGCTACTGCTGCATGCTTAAAGAAGTGCTGATGGTGTATCATGTCTCATGTTACATGGATGTATTTTAAAACACAACAGTTCTCGTTATTACCGTATGTATGGCGAAAACCAAAGATTAATGCCATCACACCTACTAAACCGTGAATCAAAAGTCACAAATATTGACGTTAACAACATAATGACTTATTCTTACAATAAAATTATGGAAGTGGTCAGAGTGACATAAGACATGGAGGACACAATATAAAATGTATACCACTCAATTACAAATAAAAACAACATTTTTAAAATCACATATTTTCTGTCCACCATGAAGCTGTAAAGAGTCATGTTTGAACATGGAACAAAAACACAGGTTCAACACAGGACAACTGTCCCATTAACAAGAGATTAAAAAGAAAAACGTGTGTACATGACTGTGTGTGCTTGTCTGTGTGTTGATATTTTTTAACTAAGTTTACAAAAAGCTTAGCATCCCCATGCTGGGTTCAGTCCTGAGGTAAGCACCAGTTTCACATGCACTGCTTTTAGTTCAAATTCAAAGAAATAAAGAAAAGAAAGTGACAAGAAACAAAATCTTTGATATGATCATATGCTACAAAAAGGAAGCCCTTAAAGTCAGGCACATTGGGGTTTTTTAAGCCTTTCAGATTCACTACGTCTATCACAGTGTATTTATGGCTTTACTCTTCACATTCACCCTCTGAGGTTGGCATTGGCACTATAGTGGTCAAACATTTCTAAGCTAAATACAGGACTATAAAGTGTGGAAAAGACAAAGAAAAAGAAAGACCAACATGTTCTTTGGAATAAAGATTTACAAAGAAAAAAAAAAGTGCCCTCAACCCACAACCTTTAAGTGCTCTTTTGTTTTCTAATTGGAGGAATTGCTGGTCAGCCAGCACAGGAAAACATCCTTTATCTCTTTTGCTATTTGATACCAACAGGGAAAGGGGGTGAATCCAGGAGACATTTGCTGAGCTTGGAAATAATGTCTCTAAGAGGATCAGAGGAGTGCGATGGCAGGCATGAAATGGGACATCATGCCGGCAAGCAGTGAGAATTGTCCAGGAGAAAGTGAGATTTCACAGGGATTACTGAAGCACAGCAGCTGGTGAGTGCTGCTCAGTGGCTGGCTTTGAGGGGAAGGCCCACTAACTTCTCCTTCTGTTCGTATCACTGACAGATTAGCAGGTCGCTGTGTGTGGAGCGAACATCCTGTCAGTCTGCGGAGAGTCAGAGGGCTAAATGCAGCACTCGCTTTGGCCTTTCAACGCTATCATGGCTCACAAACAACAGACTAGGAAAAAAGGTCAGTGTCTAACAAGACCTCTAACCACTGCCATTCTATAATTCATCATTGCATTGCTATTAATAGAGTTTACAGTAAATGACAGATTTCTGTGTCATGAGCCCCCTCTATTCTTTTCTGCTCAGCAGCGTCCATGACTGTAAATATAACACAATATCAGAGGGAACGGTCACAATCCATCTGAATCATGAGTTGGAGCTGCACTCATCATGAACAGGGATTAGTGTGTCATGAGTTGGGTATGTGCAATAATGTCCTATTTATGAGCTCACAGGGCAGTGCTCGCTGTATCTCAATAACAAATGGAAGATGAGAGATGTTTGTCACACTCCAAAGGAAGGTTTGGCTCAAGAACGGTTGCAAGAGGTGCATAAAGGCACTTAAGTTACCATTACTGTCAGACAGTATGAGCCTTTATCTGCACAAACAGGAAGGAGAGAGGGGCACAATAAAGAAAACTGGGCAAAATAAAAACACAAGACCCATTAGTAAAAAGTATTGGGACAATTGCTCTAAGCATTCAGTTATTTCACATAATGGGGAAAAAAGCCAAAAAGCAACAAACATAAACTGTCCAGTACCCCAAAAACAACAATTCAAATGAAATTACAAAATATTTTTTAAAAAAGATATACTCCTATTATTTTAAAGTCCAGGTGAGTTGGTTTATTCATTTACTAAAAGTTCTGCTCAGGTCTGGACAACTTTAAATATTGTCCTCATGTGCTTTTTGTTTTGGTTTGTTTGTTTGCTTTTCTTTGTAGAATGTTGAGTAGTACACAGGTTAAGGGACAGATTGCAAAGTAATGTTGCAAACTGTTTTCTCTGGATTTCCTTATAATACAAAAATAAATAAAACAATTTCATTTTTTGGTTTTCAAATTGTCTTTTTGGCTCAATGCTTGGAATTAAAATAATTGCTTTCTTTTTTTTGCATACACTGTACATAAATACTGAAGATCTTTAAACAAGTGTTGCTTGGTCACGTGACAGCACAGAACTCCTTGACGGGAGATGACTGAAAGATACATTAGATGCATAGAAAGGCACTTAAAGTCACACATTTTGGTTTGCATCAGTAGACCAGTTCCACTTGGCCTGAGTCTGAGGTGCATAGGAGATACTGGGTTGATGTGAATGGCTTAGGAATACTGCAAATTGTGTATGCACGCAGACACATGGATCATTGCCATTTATACATGTCATATGTCTTAACTGGGTGAGTAACGGTCAATGATGCGACCTTCGGAGAGAGGCTGTGAAGGAGGGGGCAGTGGCTGGCCCAGGACATCCATCTTGTCGTGGGTGAGGCCAAGGTGCTCCGAGGCCAGTTTGGAAAGTGGATAGAGGCTCTCCATCACTTTGGCATCAGCCGCTAGTTGCTGCTGTGCTTGGATTAGAAAATCATTGGCTTTTTCCTGCTTCAGCCCCAGGTGCTCCGCTGCGTATTTACTTAGGGGATAGATCCCCTCTGCAAAGTCCAGCTTGAGCTTCCCGTCTGTGATCAGGCCCCCCGCAGTCCCTCCTGCCGGGTGCATCTTCATGTGGCTGATGAGGTTGCGCTGCTGGGCAAACTTCCCCCCGCACACCTGACATTCGTAGGGCTTCTCCCCAGAATGTATGCGCATGTGCTCGGTGAGGCGGTACTGGCGCGTGAAGCGCATGCCGCAGGAGTCGCAGGCGAAAGGTTTCAGGCCCAGGTGGCTTCGCATGTGGCGCGTCATGGTACCCCGCTGTGTGAACTTCTTGCCGCAGATGCTGCAGGGATAAGGCCTGGTCAGCCAGTGGGTCTTCTCGTGTTGGCGCAAAGTGGCTGGATCCTTGTAGGACTTATCACAGCTGGAGCAGCGGTAGGGACGGATCATCTCCCCGATGCTTCCGGAACCTAGCCCGTGGCCGGACTTGCTCTCCAGGTGGGACAGGCTGTTGAGACTGTTGCTGCTGTTGAGGCTCCCGTAGCCATTCGTGCCACTGCTTATGTTCTTGTTGCCGCTGTTGTTGCTGTTTCCCATCTCCCCGCCGGAGTTGCCGTACAGCTCTTCTTCTGTGTGCGTCTCCACGTGTGCATTGAGCTGCTCTGAGCTCGGGAAGCCTTTGTCACAGGGAATGCAGACGTACAGATTGTCCCCGAAACTCTCGGGCTCGTACGGCATGTGGAACCTCCCCATGGCTCCGGTGGGAGATGGACGACCCTCGCTGCTGCCAGTCTCCTCCGTGCCTGAGCCGCTCTTGTCGTCTGCTCCTTCGCTCTCCTCCCCCTGCTTGTGGTGGTTATGATGCTGCTCTCCATTTTCCCCTCCATCCTCTTCATCCTCGTCCTCATCTTCATCTTCAGCCGTGAATGGCATTGGCTCGTGTTTCACCCAGCGATAGATGTTGCCCATTTCTCTGCCTGCTTCTCCGCCTTCAGTGGGGGTGTCAGGGCTTGGGGGGCCTTGAAAGCGGTCTGTTGCCTGAGAACTCGAGTGATGCAGGTGTGGGAGGTGGGGCCCTAAAGGCTGGTTAAGATGGGGGAAAGATGACGGCGACAGGGAGCCTGTCTGGTCGGTAGAGTCCATTTTTTCGGAGGAAAAGGCTCTCCTGTTTGCGCCCTGCATCGGACTGGCGCGTCCACTCAGCGTCCCGTCTCGCTCCTCGTCGTTGTGGTTGTTTGGCAGGAGGGTTTGAGAGGGTGTGAGCTGAGACTGGGAGCTGGGGCTTTTCTTTGAAAGGTCAAGGCCAAAGCTGGGCGAGCAGTTCCTCTCGGGGTGTGCCATGCGCCCCAGCTGAGCGGGCAGAGCAGCCTGCAGAGCCGGGAACACCTGAGAGCTCTGGTTGGATGTGGGAGCATACAGCTCCCCAGAATGAATGGCTAGTCGGTGGGGAACAAGCTCCTCTAGTGATGGTGCTCTGGGTGCGTTCAAAATTCCTCCTGGAGGGCAGGATTGAATTACAGGAGTAGAAACCCTATACCTGCCACCAGTCCCTAAGCTCATGCTGCTGGGACCAATCTTTGAATAGGGTAAAAATGCTGGCCCTGGACGAGGAGGGTACTTTCCATTTCTTCTCAGCTTCTTTTTGCACAAAGCCACTAAATCAAGTAGCTGAAGGTAGCTGGCAGCTGCAAGTACAGCCCCTAGATTGGGTTCAGTGGGAGAGGTGGGGTCTCCTTCACTGAGGCGCCCAGTGTAGATATAGTCCAGAATGACCCTGAAGACCCCTGGACTCACCATCTCGTGGTCAAGGTTGATGAGATTGTCATGGACCACCAAAGACTTCAAGTAGAGGCTGCTGGCAGCCAGAATGTTTTTATGAGCTCTGAAGAGGGCATTCTGCACCACAATGATAACATCACAAAGGAAGCCTTTGGTTCTCTGGCTGTTGAGCTGCAGGAGGAGATCCCTAGCATGACTTGGAACTTCCATGGCATCCAGCATTGTCTTCAGTCCGCCACCTGAAACCACAGAGAGCTGTAAACATCATGTCAGCATTCAGCATTTCAAGTTACAAGAACCTACCTCCACCACTGAAATATTTACTGATGTATATTTTAAAAATCAACTATTTTCACATGAGAATGTCCATCATTTTACAGGGTGTTATTTTAATTATCTATCCGCGGAGGAATATAATACGACGATTTGGGAACAGAATTAGGATGGAAATTGACAAACTTCAGAGCATTCCAACACACATCTAATCACAGATTCAACTTCAGCTTTTGCTACCTTGTTTTTTCAATGATTTCATTTTTTCATCTACTTAAAAATCATAAAAAACAGTCTGTATCACAGAAAAAACCTGATAGAAAACGAGTGGAGTGCAGAACGGACATGTGGGAAGTGCATGAGAAAAACACTCAGTAACTGAACTTTTTCTAAAGGTGACTGGTTGCAATGGTTTTCTCATTATCAGGAATTCAAGTCATTCAATTCCAGTACGGCGAGCAACAAAAACGAAAAAGAGCTCAAGTTATCGAACCACAGGTATATATTTTCTAATTGCTGAATTCCTGCTAAAGTACTACAGCGGTGCAGTGAGCAGCTTTAAACAATGCAAAGGGTAGAATGTTTCACAAGGGTGATGAACTGCAGGTATAAACCTGTAGAGGAAGGACACATCCAAAAAAAGCTTGGGCCTCGGCTTGGCTTTCTGTTAAGTCATATAAGGAACTCTGAGCGCATAAGATATAAATCAGCATTTGATGGTTCAATACATTACACTGTGATAGGCTGCAGGGAATGAATGTGACTGCACACACACAGGCGTACACTCAAATATCAACACTAATTGTTCCATCGAGCCTAAAATAAACTACATAAGCTACATGCATGGAGCCCCATGCATTGTTCAAGCAGTGGCAACTGAGGATAGTTTACTTACAAGATTAAATGTCTCAAACTGTCCCTGAGTGCTCCGTCTCACTGATGGGAAACAAGCAACTAAATAAATATCATGTCATCTGTCTGATCAGTCTTCCTGACACCAGCTCATTCAGTCTCTTGTTTATTTCAGAGTACGAGCTCAGCAGTAGAATAGGAAAGCACTCATTAAAAAAAAGATATTTTAGCCACAAAGGAACTCTGAAGAGTTATTCTCAAAATGTGTCGTCTTGCAATGCGGCTTTCCATGCCTTTTCAGTCACTTCCTAGTAGGGTTTCAGCTATTTCAGCAAAGGCATGTGAAACATTAGACTTAGAAATAAAATGTCATCACTGACTAATAAAAACAAAAGGTCACAGTAAAGTCCAGGTATGGGAAAGCGTTTGTTTATTAGTCATCTATTTATGAGAAAAACATATCTTGAAATAATGTGGATTTAAAAGTAAGTTTTATTTCAATTTTATGGTAAATTTTTAAAAACTGTTGTTCCAGTGTGCGCATGGGATTTCTTTACTATTCATGACTTATTATATTTAGAAATACAGCATCACAAAGTACACCTGGTAGGATTTGATGAGTTCACGGCCCATCGTGTACCACGTTGTTTTACAAACTTTTTTTGATTTTCTTTGCTATCTGGCTTTCATTATTCAGTTTTCGTATTTTACTGTAAACTACAACATCTGTCACTTTATGAATGTCACAGAGTTGGTGCGATCTGACTTTCCACACTTGCAGAACTTCTGCCTCCACTGCGCTCATCCTTGCTGTCACCCTGGAACGCAGGCTGACACACTGCACGCTCGCACACACACACAATCTATACATTCTTGTCTGCATGTTCTCGCCGTACAGCTCTATTGCGTCAGAAAAAGCCGATAAGAAAATTAAATCCAGGGACTCTGATCTATATCTCTGAACCAGAAAATAAAAATCTTCCGAGCATCTGTGCTGCACCAACAGCCTGTTATCTCTGGTCATGTGTGAGTCTGTGGGTTTCCAGTCGGTGACAGTAAGGAGCACCGCTCCAGAGCTTTTTAGTGTAATTTGAAAAGCTAATTCATAACTTAATAAAATAAAATAGAATTTACTGTTTCATAGTGACACAAAGTTAGACGTCAAAGTAAAGCGTGTTTCGCACATCTCTTGATCTGCAGGGCATGTGTAAGCTCACTGCATCCTGTGAGGAAGCCATCTATGATTGCAACGATATTCTGTCACACAGCTCTGTATGAAGCAAGGCGAATGCATTACTCCTGAGTCTGCGCTTAGCTTGTTGCATTGCTTTGTTATGTCGCACGTATTTCAAATATTTTTTCACGGTTGTACACACAGCGTTGTCGCTGGAGGGAAGCTTGCTCCAGCTCCTCTGGGTGAATTGCTTTTTCATCTGATGATGGGGATGTTGTTTATAGAGATATCCCTAAGTTATTTGGATTAAATTAATATTCATCCTCCCTTAGTCGTGTGTCTTTTGTCGTTTTGTAGTTTGGAGGGAAGCAAAAGACTAAGTTTCCTACCTCTGCATTCGGCCTCAGTCGCATAAACACTCCAGACATCTGCTAAAGACGTTGTGTTGACATTTGATTTTCTCTCCTTTGAATTTGCTGTCCATTGTTTATTTTAAAACCCGTCAAAATGTGTCTTAAATCTACGAAGGCCTGCTGGAGCACAAAATCTTAATCTGCATATCCTTTATTAGTTTAGAATAGTTCAATTTTTTACTTTCTTACGTGGAAGAACTGTACAGATTGAGATTAATTTGTTTTTATTAGGTCAGCAAACAACAAGCAGAGTCAGTTTCCTGTTTGCTGCACTCTCACATCTAAAAACCAACACACAGTTATGAAATCTGGATTTGTCTAAATGTCACATCTTCATTTCAAAGGAAACTGAGTTTACCCAAGAAGAAGTCCCTCTGCCATTAGGTCTATTATATATCAGTACTAGTATATCTCAGGTAATTTAGGGACAGGACTCTTAATTCAAAATAACATCAATGTGATATTGTACAACAATGTGTTGTCCCAATTATGTTTAATAATCGAATTTCTGAACTAAATTTATCAATGCAGATTTATTTGACTGAATTGACTGATTTAATTTCACTAAAATGTCCTTGATTGTGTTCAAGTATATTCCAGGGTCTAATCTACAAGGCTTCAAAACTGTAATATCTGATCGTTGCGCTCCTCAGGCAAACAGAGCAGCTCTCTGGGAGAGTCGCCGTGCTCCCAGCCTCCGTTTTCACTCTCCGCTTCACTTACTGGACACTAAACCGAATCACGAGAGAGTCTTCCTCTCCGGACCGCTGCGTCCCCATCCTCTATCTGCACTCACAATAATTAAAAAAACCGATGGACGTCCAGAGACATGCCCTGACCCCTCCAGTAGAAAGATGTCACACCAACTGTTTTCCTATCAGACCTGTCAACGGAGTTAAGCCGCATCTCTTGGTGCTGCTATTTAAAATATCAACTTTTTCAAAAGACACCAGAAACAGGCTTCCAAAGTCCTAATTGTGTAGTTAGAAACATTTCAGATTGTGTCTTACGTCTCATTAATTTGGTAACGACATTATCATTTACAGAGATGGACAAATTTTACTGACATGAACTTAATGATTTCGCTATTGCCACGAATATTAAATCATTAATAAATGATTAGCTCAAGCTTGAGAGAAAAATGTTTTTAAAAGAAGTCCACTTGAAAGAATCTCGCTTTAAATTCGAAACAGTTTAAATGATCTCCTGATTTTGAAACCATCTAAACTCGGAATTTATCAGTCAGTAAATGCAAAATCTATTCTGCATATTAGATTAGTAAACCGAAATACGTTTTTATAGAAATTAAAGAAAAAACGATACATGTTGTAATCAACTCAAATTAAATGTGAATTAAAGAATAAGTAGGAGCACCTCTCGTCCACATCAAAATTCCAATGGAGCTTTAAAAAAGGCGAAACGCCGCAGGATGCAAAATCGATTTCTAATCTAAAATAGATTAAAAAAAATGTGTCAGTGAGCATAAACCCTGTGCGGCTCTGTGGGTAAAATCCTATCTGTCTTTCTTTCTGCTGCTCTCGTCTGGGCGTCTCGGCTCTTACCTGCATGCCCGATGTCTTCTGCCATCCGATCTAAGTCTCCCTTAATGATCATCTCAGCAGTCTCTGGGAGTCATATCTTACGTCTCAGCGCTCAACTGCCAGCCTCCAAAAACCATGCCAGTTTTCCGAGCGCGTCTGCCAGCTCTTTTTTTTTATGATTATTAATTGATATGAATTTCTTCTCGCTCCTTGGGTCCGTCCTCCCACCCACTTTTCCTCCCTCTGTCTCTAAGTGCCCCTCCTCTCCCTCTTTCTCATCCCCTCCCAACAAAAAAAAAAAAATGAAAAGAAAAGAAAAGAAAAGAAAAAATACGTGCTTAGGCCAGCATCATTTTCAACCTTTTTTTTTTCTCCCCCTCTCGTAATTTCCTTAGCTATTTTTGAGCCCTCGCAATAACGCGCACCGGGATGATAATGGAGCCTCTATGCGCCTAAGTGTTTTAGCGCCCCGTGTGATGTCAGTCTATAATAGAACTAAAAGGTAAAATCGAGGGCAGGAACTTCAAATGACCCCAACGTGAACTTCTCAACACATCTTCTTAAAGAGACAGGCAGCTGTTGTCTCTGTACGTGAACGTTGCGCATTTCTTATCAGGTAGCTCACAAACAGTTTTTGGGGGGGATTTGTTAAACGGTTTGCTGCCGATAGTCATCAAAGAATTTCATGTCAAAGACCTTCAAGGAATTAGACCCCCCCCTTCCCTGAGGCAGATGCAGGTTTGATTCAATTTTGTCCTTAAACTCACTATTGCATCAAATTAAATCAACTTTGTTTTTTCTTCGACGAGAAGCAGACGTATCATCATTTAATAATATTTCAATTAGCATTTTAAGCAGATTAAACGATTGAAACTAAATTTGTTTCACCTCCTCTTCAGACCTCCCTTAGGAGGGTTTCGAGGCCCGATGACACACTCCCTCCAAAGAAAAGAAAAAGTTGCCGTGCCGTAAAAGCCATCCATCATCACCTGGGCTGGAGACTGAAACCAGACTTTAAGAGGACGCACGGCCTTATCTGGCTGCAAAGAACCAAAGTAGCTGTCATAATATTCCTCTAATGTGGAAAGAAAGCCCAGCTGGGCACTGGTTTAGAGATTTAGGGGTGTAGATGTGGGCATGTGAGCAGTTACCCTGCTTATTGTGATCTATTTCCCTTTCATCAATTAGTCTTAAGGTTGAGATATACTTTATCATGACAAGAGTGGGTTTACTTTACAAGACTTCTAGTGTCGTGTGGGAGTTGTGTGCAGGCAAATGCAGACTGAAAATATAAACACAAGTATGAGTCAAAGTAGGAAATCGTGCCACATCCATCCGCTCAAAACAAAAAAGACTTGAGGAATAGCAGACTTCAGCCATCACTGCAGTCCATTTCAAAGCCCTCATTCTGACTAAATGTTTAATCACAGGTCAGCCTGCATGCCATCTCTGTCCCTCTGCCGTATCCCCCCCAACCCCTCCTGTTTTTTCCTTTTTTTTTTCCTTACCTCGGACTCATGTCTGGTGCTCTGGCCGCGCGTGTCCTCTCCGTTTGGGCATTCCCTTCCCCGTGCGCTCCGCCGTTTCCTCCGAGTCCAGCTCTGCCGCGCAACACGTCTCTTCCGCGTAATTTTTTTTTTTTTTGCCGTCCTCCCTCTCTTTCAGCCTCTCTTCCACACTCAGGATTTCTCACGTGTTAACAAGACTATCTGACACTTCAGAGTGTGTCGGCTCCGGTCGGACCAAACACTCCAGCGGCCGGGACCGTGCGCGCACAGCGACACCCAACGGCTGTGAGTCCCACAGGCCCCGTTACAGGAACTAAAGCCTTATGCCGTCATATACAGCAAACCCACGGAAGCAGAGGAGACATGGCTTGTTTTACTTGGTCAAGTAAAACATAATAATGAAAAACACAATAAGCCACCTGCAACGTTACGTTATATTATCCAGGAAAGCAATGCAAACTTTAAAAATGGCAACATTTGAAATGTAAAAAGGTGAGTCAAATTAGTCTGAGTCCAAATAAATATCTCATTTTAAACAAAACATCTTAGAATGAGTTTAAAAGCTCCTTGAAGAGGCTAAATGAAGACGCATGGTTCTTCTAATTCAAGCGGGAGCCACAACTGTTGGTGTATTAAACAAATGAAATTGTTCTTTAATTTTGTAATTGGTTGATTAATCAACATGATTAATGTTCTGCTTTGACTTTCTTTGTAAACTATTTGTACTACAGTGAAAGCTGTCAAGCTAATGTGATGGAGTGGAAAACAATATTTCCTCCTAAAGTGTGCGAATCAGTTGCCCTCCATGTTATCTTTATAAAAAGATGTCATTTGGCACAGCGTTGAGCTTCCATCCCCTTTCAATTTGGTTATGAAATATGTCTAGATAAATGTGTCCTGCTGATAATCAACTTCAGTGACTGAAAAAGCCCATTTTCCCTCTGTCTGTACGCTGCAGTTAGCACGAGTCATTGGCTTTCTGTAAACACTAACTGTAACTCATATTTAATCTGCTACATTTGGAGGGGTTAGGCTAGTGCGGCCTCACGCTCGAGTCTTTCCCAAACAACCCAAAGGTGTCTGAAATCCAACAGATTGGAGCCATTTGCCCATCACCGCGACAGCTGATGGAACGTTCACGATGGAACGGTCTATTTGTGTTTGTTTTGATCAAAACAGCAGCTGACAATCCCATGAAGCATGCAGCCTCTTCCTCTTTAAATTATGCGAGTTCAAGGTGCTGGTGTTTCATTGAAACATGGCGATCCACCCCAAGAGTCTGGTGAAGTCGAGGAAGGTATTGTCTCTCACTTCCATGTTCCCTTGATGAACTGATGATAACCTCGCTGACAGAGGTAGGCAGAGTTGCGTAGGTGAATAGATATCTTCTATCAAGGATGTGAGCCTTTGAATTCATGGTCCAAAAATACTTTCCACAAGCGGAAACACATAATGATGTATTATTCTGCTGGTCAGGTGTTACGTTTAGGTGGCTTTATTTTTCAAATAATTTAGACGTATTTGTTTAACACTGTGTCCGCTGGTGTATATTAACCCATTTGTTTCTGCAGATTTGTGTTTTTTCAAAGTTCTCTCTCTCTCTTTAGTGTTTGATTTCAGCAACTGCATTCAAAATGAATGATCTTGCACGTGTAGACATCTGATGTAAAGGCTTTGTTTGCATGGAATCTGATTGGGGGAATACCTTGTGGGACAATAATCAAATTAATATGTGCGAAATCTTTTGTTGTGACACTATAATTTTGCTCTTGAAATTTCCATAGGGTACTGTAAAGAACAGACTTTGAAATGCAATTTTAAAGCCTAAGGTCTAATTACTTTACAGTTTAAAGGATCAAATGGAATAGTACATTTTTGCACGGAGCATCATAACAGGGCATGCGGGCAATCCTCATTTTTCATTTTCTTTTTGGCAGTGATAAGATTTCTGATCCTCGGCCACATGCAGGGAGAAATGTGATTAAAGGCAAATAAAACGGTTTTGATATGATTAACAGTGCATGCAGCCTGTATCTTGAATAATTGAATAGTCGCCCACAGGCTCATAAAGTCTCCATTTCAATTCCAGCTGGAGGGCTGCATTGCATGTTTGACTCACTTTTCCCACCCCATGTTTCCTGTCTGCTTCCTCCTCTCTGACTGTCCATTACAGGGGGATATGCCCCAAAAATAATATTTTTTATGCAAAGTTTGATACTATAGACATATTACCTCATTTTGTTGTTTTGCATGTCTCTGGGCAAAGCCATTGTCTTCCCAGACATATTTTATCTCACTAATCAATCAGCCTCTGGAGGCCTGCGTTGGACAATAAATTTTAGCCTGTCAAAACATAATTTAACGTTCTGAAATCTGGCACACAGCGAACCTGCACTGAACTTTTGATGAACCGCGAATGCCTCCAAATTGCTGATTGTTAGCATTGATTCAATTAAAGCTCAGAGAGCTGAATCCCCAAACACGGCCCTGGGAGCCCATCGTTCCGCCTGTGCAAGGCTGCCTCTTCAAAGACGGCTGCAGGAACCAGAGCTGGAGGAAAGGCAGGCTGAGCAGCGAAATCCCTCAACAGTCTGCTGTCACCTTTCTAAATCGCACACCTTTCCCACACTCTCCAAGCGTGAAGATTGGCGGGTTTTTCCGCATGCGGCACATGTCTCGCAGATTCTTGACGAAAATAGAAACACAATGGATGGGTGAGAGTTCTGAGTGTTGCCAACTTTTTCAGACATCTGTGATCACACGTCTTACAGGGTCACCATTACTTTAAAGGGTAAACCACCTCTCGCTTGGTTTAGTTTAGTTTATCTTCGTGGTGAATGCTTCGGTCACCTCGTTACATCCCAGTTTCTGCCCCCCAGCAGAGTATCAGTAGGACTGGACGACAGACAGGCTTGTATAAAAGCTGTTTAATCACACTGATGAGGACAATTCACATCTCCTACGGACTTAGAGCCAAGCCTTTTGTCCTCCATCCTTTATTCTGTTCTCGTCAATCATCCCTTATTTCTCTGTGTCTTTCCAAGGGGACACGGCCACACATATCTCCAGATGATTACTGTGACCGCCCCACCATACCAGACGCACACCCCTCCTGCTTCAGATTCTCTTCACCACCAAAAATTGAACAGTAGGCTCAACATTTACACACAGAGCTCTCTTAATTCATTGTAATGAGCAGCTTTAAGACAGCTTTAGTGCACAGGCGTGCAAGGCATGTCATTTGACTGAGCTGGGCTGTTGTGTGCGTTTTGTCACTATTCTAGTTTGCCCGTCTGGCGGTGATGGACAATTATCATGCCATGATTAGTGCCAGATGAAAAATGCTTGAGTGTTTATGTGCAAAAGGCAAAGTCCATAAATGCACAATAGCCTTTGGACTGCCGTGCCTTGTACTCCTCTTTCCACGACTGGAGATTTGATGTCCATTTTAATCGCATCATATCACAAGTAGTCCTTCAAACTGACACTGAAATACTTTCTGGCCAATATTAATGCAAATGGATCAGTTTCTTGTTGAACAGTGCACATGAATGTAGAGCTGATACCAGTGAAAAATTGAATGAAGGGGGGACAAAAGAAATTTGCAAAGCTGTTTGTTGAAACTGTGATTCTTTATAAACTTCTGAACTATTCAC